TGGAATATTTTTACTTTCGTTTTTTTTTTTTGTTTTTTTTTTTTGCGCTGGGGCTGCCCGGAACCTTGCCCGGGGGCATGCCTGGCCAGGCACCCGGGCGTGTATCCAGGCACAAGTTGGGTGCCCGGCGCCCGGAAAAACAGCCTAGTTTCTTTTTAGGCCAAAAAAAAAAAAAAAGTCTTAAAATTAAATTTAAAAGTTTAAAAGTTTAAAACTGTATTTTACTATTTTTACTATTTACTATTTGTTTATTTTGTTTTGTACGTTAAATTCTTCATTTGTGTGGGGCATGCAGAACAGAGGGGGGTGAATGTGATGAGCTGTGATGAGCAGTGTTGCGGGTTTAATTTTTTTTTTTTGTCCTTTTTTTTGTTTTTGGACTGAGAATAGGGATATCCCCTAGCATCATCCTATGGTATTCTTAGCTCAGCTGGATCGAGCAACAACAACCTTCCTAAACGGAAGGTCACGGGTTCAAAACTCAAAACCCTTCTGTAGGATGCTGAACTCTTGAGTGACCAAGTGGTGAAAGTTGACAGACCGTGAATGTGTTGTGGGGGTAACCGACGGCTATATTTCTACGTACTCTCTTTCCCAGGACACAATACATCCCAGTCATGAATGTATACAAGCGATCTTTCCGGTTTGATACGGTCAGGATGAGGGGTTGTGTTATGTTCGGGGAATCCTGCCTCTCCCACTTCCTGGCCCTCGTGCATTTGATCAACAAAGCCTGACATCATGCCTCCATTCATCGATACAACCTTAGCTCTACTGTTCTCTTATGCCGTAACGGGCCATATTACTTCCCTTCTTACTCTATAGAGTCTATGCTATATCCTGCATTATGCTCTTCTCTCTGTCTGCTCCTCTGCTAGCCAAACAATGCCGTCGACGCTGATCACGTTATGTGTGCTCACCACCCATCATCAGGTAAGTTGCACTTCTCATTGTGTCCTCTTTCCACCATCCTCCCAAACACCAGCGCCTCTTATCGAACCACCAGGTGCAGCTGTGGCTGCAGCTGGCTGGGCCATTCTACCGCACCGGCTCCTTCTCCTTTGTGGTTGTCAACACTCCGTCCTGACTCTTCACGCTGTGCTATTTTTAGCGCTGTCTGGCCAGTGGCTCGTGCATCGACGGAATGTCCCTCAGCTGCCACCTCCAGCGGTTTTCTCAAATGTGGGAGGCTGCGGTTGCCGCCGCATTCCGCACTGGGACGTTCCAATGAAAGAAGTTCCCTCGCAGCTGCCACCAACTTCCGGATGCCACGGCCGTTACTTTAATGCCCATCAGTTTTATGTTTACGTACCCAAACCTTCCCTTAGGGCCCGGTTTTATTACAGTACGCCCGACCTTCACTCTGACCTGGTCAACCTGACGCAGGCAGCCCCTGCTTGGCGCCACCAGGCCTGGCCCCTAGCGGTTAATGGAAGGCCAAAAATTCGGGGTTTTTCGCTGCGTCGTTACAAGCAATGTTGTCGAAACTTTTGCGAACAAATTAGAAAAGAGTAAAAATTCAGGGAAATATGACAGTTTCGGTGAAAAATTCGCCAAAATTCGCCGAATTTTGGGCCTTCCATTAACCGCCTCTCCCTGCTGGGCGCGGCCAGGCCTGGAGGTTCCCTGCTGGGTGCCGCCAGGCCTGGGGCCTTGCGTCTACATTCGAACTGAGGTATGTATCTTAACAGTTCATAGGTGTACCGACTGAGCTAGGCCGGTTGCTGGAAGAATCCCTTTTGCGGTCTATGGGGAAATAATTCACCCATCACCTAATCGTCAACTTCCAATTTTAACAGATGCGCGGGACAACAATACTGTTGTATAATTGTAATTGAAATAATTTTGTGCGTGCTTCCGGGATTGAACTTTGAACTTGTGACCTGTTTCTTGAAAGACAGACAGGTATTTATGTATTATGTATCATTTAGCCACCACCAGGCTGGTGTATTGTGTTGAGCTCAACCATTTTCTCTTAAAGCACCATCTTCACCCGAATAGAACGGCCGGTCATTATGGCTGCACCTGGACTGAAAGTTGACCCAAATAGGGCTGTAATGACCGGGCGTGCTATTCGGGTGAAGACTGTAGTACCTCGGGCAGTGTTGGGAAAATTAGGGCAAACTGGCAGTTTTTCCAAACTCCTAAAAAGTCGCAGAGGGGGGGGGGGAGACGACGGCCGCCGTTGATCAATCTGATCGGCAACCATCGTTTCGCTTCGGCCTCCTAAAAGATCGCAGCCACGCCCCGCCCCCCCACCCCCCCCCCACGAGGCCGGAGGTACTAGTGGTTGTGTGACGGGGCTGTTTTTGGCTCTTTTGAAGAGGGAGAAAAAAATAATTTTGATTTAGTTCTGTGACTTTGACGCCTTTTGTTTTTGCTTTTCTTGTGAAATCTGTTTTTGATCTTTTGTCCATTTTTCAGGTTCAAATTGCCTGTTGAACGACTCTGGGTCAGCGTGTTTGAAGATGATGATGAATCCTTCCTGCTTTGGCGTGATATGGTCCGCTGCTTCTTCTTCCACAAAAACTTAAGAAGTCTCCCCTATCTCTGTAGATGACATCGCATCAATCTCTGCATTCTTCTGGGCATTCATTTGCCCTCTCATGTTCTTCTTCTTGTTGTTGGTTTTTTCTTTCTTGAAAGAAAAAGGAATTGGACCTTTTTTGGATTTCTTTCTTGTCGTCCTTGCACAAGGGCGACAAGCCGCCATAGTAATCTTCTCTCTCTCTAGCTCCAACAATTTTAGGTTTTGATGGATGCCCCTGCATGCATGTTCTGGTAGTTCTACTGGTCACACTGATTTATTGTTTTATGGTTTTGAACTTCATACAGATAAAAAAATTTGAGAGTTGAACAACTTTTTATTTGAAACAAATCCTGTCCTAAAAAACAGAAAGGCGGATCAACTTTACACTATGGAATTGAAAAAAGAAAAAGAAAAAAAAATCCTGATGAGTCCGTGAAACTCCGACGAAACAGTTTGTCACAGCCCCTCGTTTGTTGTCCTCTTCTCCCTCTCTGCCTACGGTTTACCGTAGGCAGTTCTATTTGACGATATATATATGCTGTGCCTCTAGTGCCAGCGGCGTGTCTGGAGTGTATTTTTTGGCTGTGACAGACCTTTCTTCGTGGATGTTTTGCTGGCTTGTGATGGGGTGTGAACCGACAGTCTGTAGAGTTTTCCATCTGGTGTGGGTGAGTGATAGTCTACTTTGATTTTGGTTAAGGTAGATTATCATTTACAGTGTAATCAGTGAGGGGATTCTGCAGACTGTTGAGGGTTCAGCCTCCTGATGAGTCGGTGAAACTCCGACGAAACAGTTTGTCACAGCCCCTCGTTTGTTGTCCTCTTCTCTCTCTCTGCCTACGGTTTACCGGGCAGTTCTATTTGACGATATATATATATATATATATACCGGGCAGCTCTGTTTGACTATATATATATTGAAGACTAAGAATTGAAGAGCTTTGGAGTCTTGAACTCTTAAACCACCAGTACTTGGAGGATTCCTTTTGCCGAAGCAGATTTCCCCGCTATGCGGACAAAAAAAAATGAGCTAGTGCGAGCGCTTTGTTGGCTCACGCCGCAAGCCAATTTGCTTCCGTAGGCCAAGCCCTGAAAGCCGTGGCACGTGCACGGCCACGTCGGAGAAAAATGGCTGGGAAAAGGACTGGTGTTAAATCACCAGTACATGGCCCCAGGCAACTGGAGAGCCTGTTTTCAGCTTCAACGGAAATTTAGGAGGCCAAGCGCCATAGATAAAATGAATCAGTGGTGGGCGGCCTCCGAAAGGGGCCCGCTGCCCATAGCTGGCATGTCCTGGTGGTTTAAGTTGTTATCCTGTGTGTCTGTGGATTAGCAGCTGCATAGGTATGTACTATGTATGATTGTGCAACCAGGAGAGTCCCTTGTCCATTACTAAAAAGGTGCACTTTTGGAATTTTATCGACTTTTATGATTCTATCTCCAAATTGTTTCCAACAAAAAGAAAGGAGGATTCATCATCCTGAGTCCTGACTCCGGACGTTAGGGAATTGTTAATTGATGAAGAGGATGCGAGTCTTGAACTCTTTAACCTGTCTGTGCATTAGCAGCCGCGGGTATGTGCAATTGTGCAACCACGCAGGAGTACATCACAATTAAGTTGAATTAACAATTGTTTTTTTTTTTTTTTTTTTTTTTCTGGGTCGGTGTTTGGAAGGTTTTACAATTGTCCATGCCTCATCATTCGCAAAAGATGATGAGTTTGAGTCCAGGTAGTTGATTAAGCTTTGACTATAGAGGGTGCTTTATGCTGTTCTCTATTTTCTTCGTTTGTTTGGTAAAGTTCGCTCCTTTGGTCGATAGACATGTGTGACATATATATTATATATACATATTATATATATATCGTCAAATAGAACTGCCCGGTAAACCGTAGGCAGAGAGGGAGAAGAGGACAACAAACGAGGGGCTGTGACAAACTGTTACATATTATATATATATCATCACAATATTGGATTATACTTATAAAATATAAATAATCTATATATATGACGATATATATTATGCGTTGCCACTTGTACGCACCCTCGTACGAGTACGGATTCGTACTCTTGTACTCGTACGCTAGGGGCCCCGTACGAGATTTTTTTTTTTTTTTTTTTTTTTA